GTGGGAAAAAAAATTCAGTGCAAAAGAGAAACCCCGATAAAAAAAGCCTAAAAACACGCTAAAAATACCCCCAAAGCCCGAATCTCTGCTTGGAGAGTACACAGACGTTTCAAAGGATATCAAACAGGCTTGGCTGTCAGGTCATGGCACAGAAACTATGAATCATGAGTCAACAACAAGGATGGTCCGGACAAAACTGAGAAGGGCCAACAAAAAAAATAGCCTCCATAGCATGCCAAAAAAATGGGGGGGGGGGTCGTTCATGGTCTTTGGGATCTTTTATGCGCTATTTTCTGATTGCGTATAGAAAACATAGCCGGTCTGGTTGAATTACCCCAGTTTTTTGATTGGCTGCTAATCAGAAATCAGCCAAATACCACCAAACCCCCAGTCCCAGCCTGCTAGTGGAGGCTACAACAACCTCTTTTTCAGGAGACGGTGACTAAATATTGATTCAATGGCACTTCTTTATTCAAAACCATCAACACTTATCATGAACAGGCCCACCCGTCTAGCACATTTCCTTTTACCTGTTCTGGAAATGGGTGTGGTTTTTTTATGACATAACAGCTGGTGCAGTGATGGCATTTGCCGCTAGTCGGCGTAGCCACAGTGATCCTATACAGAATCATACACTTCGTAATAGGTAGGTAATGTATTATTTTATTTTCAACAAAATATGAGTAAACAAGTAATATATGACATCAATAAATTATTTTAAGTTAAATATAACATATGTCTTGCTAGCTTTTTTGTAGTCTTTGTGTATTAGAATGTGAGAAAATCGTCTTTTATTTTACAAAGTTTTCCCCCTTTTTCAAGTCGGATAGTCTTTTAAATCACGTGATCTTATGTAAAGCAAAATAGTTTGTTGTTGCCGGGTTTTTGCTCAGAAAATGAGCGGATATGTGGACGTTTCCTTCCAGTTTCGGTCGCTATTTTTACGCCAACGACATGACATGAGCCCGGCGAGTGTCACAACTCTATAGGAACGTCGTCTTGTCTTCCGAAAGCGGTTTAAAATGTGGTGTTTTGTGTGGTTAGTGCTGTTGTGTGGTGTAGGGGACCGGGTACAAGGGTACGGGAATGGAGCTCCGTTGGAAGCTTGTGTTACGATGACTCCCGGACATTTCGGCACTACTGCACAGACTAGTCCGACTCCATACAGCCTCGTGGCACCTGCACAATACGTACCTGGTCAAAGTATAACAGGTGAGTCACAAAGAAACACAACTATTTAAACATATCACAGTCCTAACAGTCCTAAATACTTGTTACGATAACGTGAAACCAGTAACAAAACTATGTAACAGTTAGGGCCTAAGTCCTGTGACCCAAATGTCTAAACGTTTTAGGATCTTTTAGCATTTTGCTCTTAATGAGTAAGTTGTTTAAACTTAATGTAAACAAAAATTAGTACCATTTGTAGTAGTTAAAAAGTTGTAGTACATGTAGGTTTTTGTGAGGTCAGAACTATTCAAATATATCACGGTCCGAAATACTTGTTGCGGTAACGTGAACGACGTGACAAAAGTATCTAGGGCCTAAGTCCGCACTTGTTTTTATGTGACCCAAATATCTTAGTGTTCAACAAAGGACATTATACAAGAACGTAGCATTCAGCATTTTGCTTTTAACTGTTAACAGCTGACAAAAGAAAATTATGAATCTTGAGTAAGTTGTAATGTTATATTCATACACTTACTGTAAAGAAAAATTATAACTAATGTTACAGTTAAAATGTATCTGGGGCCTAAGTCCGCATTTGTTTTTACGTATACACCCAAATGTCTATTGTTAAACGAAGCATTTTGCTCTTAACTATTGTAAGCTGACAAAACAAAATTATCAGTATTGCTATAAACTTAAGGTTTGGTCAGGGTAGTGCTGATAGCCGCTGAGCCAAAATTTCATAATAAGCTGTTCATAAAAACAACCATCTAATCTAGTAGCTATGTAACTCTATTTTCGTAATCTGGCATCTGCAAGAATAACTAACGCTACAAGTTAAAACTTTTTGAACTTTTTGATGCCTGAAAAGTCATGTAGTGGTCAAGAGTAGTATAAAAAACCTTAATTCAGAGCATTGGTGTAAGAAATGGTTATGATATAATGCTTGGCTAAAACAATGACTTTTTTCTTTTCTTTTTCTATTTTTACCCCCGGTAGTCCAAATCACAGGAGCAGACTTTCAGGGATTCCTTATCCAGGCTCGAAAAGTTGGAACCACCACTTCTGTCGGTTTCTTCACGGATCCTCCCAGCAACGTGAGAACCAACGATTGTCCGAACACGGTGGCGAGAGGCGCGAATACCGCCACGCACAACAGTCAGGCCACGAAACGGGACTTATCGCTGACCTGGACACCCCCGTCCGAGGCAGGACATGGCACGGTCGAGTTTGTGTGAGTGAACAAGCTTTTGTTAGCTTGAAAGTTCATCTATCTGTGATGGTAGAATTTATTAGCCTCTACCAGGCTTTGGGAGGCAGCTGGAAAGAGTAGAAATTGGCCAAATACTGAAGTGTAGAGATAACATGCCAGGGGAGTTGGTCTGCTAGAGAGAACAGTTTGCCGCACCCAAATTGCAAACTGTACTCTCTAGCGGACCAACTCCCCAGGCATGTTATCTCTCTATTTGACCAATTTCTGCTCTTTCCAGCCGCCTTCCAAAGCCTGGTAGAGGCTATTAATTTATTACAAACAGGTGTGAACTGTAATTTTCCAACACCACAAATTAGACTCACCCAAATTGTTGACTGTATAAACTATAACTTGTACACCAGTTGTAAGACCAGGAATGAACAATCCACCACTTCTGTGACATCATGTTATGCAGATGACACATGTGACTTTGTGAGCAGTGGATCGTAGGTTGCAGAAAGTCTGTGGCAACCCCTGCCATTGTTCAGGGAAGAATTTGTTGTGGTTTGTTTTATTTCATATTCATAACCAGTAAACTGCCTGGTGGTATGGCAAACCAATGCATTGCATCATAAATGCAAAGCTACTCAGGCAGTTTAAGCAAGGAGGTTAAAAATCCTTGGTTAACTTTAAGGGATGGATTAAAATATAGTGCTGCATGGCCTGAATATAAGGTGTCCTTTTGAATATCACTCAGAGCTGCATATAGTTAGTGTCAATAAAATTGCGGTGCAGGAATTTCTGATGTCTATCTTCACCAAATCTGCATTGGGCCATGTACTACTACATGTAGTAGCTATTTTGCATATACATATTAGTAGCCTATGTGCACAAGTTATTTGGGTAAACTATTCATACTTGAGACATGACTTTCTTCGTGTAAGATTTCTTAATGGTTATACTTATCAATAATAAGGCAATGTCTAAGACTTTCATCTTCTTAACCCACTTTAGCAAGAGTATACTCTAAATATTATTGTTATCTACAGCGCTACTGTTGCTGAACAGAAGACAGTATACTGGACTGATCTGAAGTCTTCACAGCTGACAGAAACTACTGCAGGTGAGCAGTCACAATAAAACATGTAACTAACGTTACAATGAATGAAAATATTTTTGGCCGCAACCCCTCCTTTACTGTCACTGACTCTAGCATTTGTACAAAATCTTGTCAAGCAAGGTAATAGTTTTTCCATGTAGAATATATCAATATGTTTTCTGAAGGAAAACATATTTGTTTTTGCTCAGTTTCTTCTTCTCCAAACAGATAAGATCAATGACCAGAACCAGATGTCTTTCACCATGGTAACTAGTGTTGGGTGACATCATGTTGCAATTTTAAAGCAGGAGGGATTTAGGCTCCTGTCACCAAATATATGATTATGACTGTGTTTAAGTAAGAATTAACAGAGCAGACCATATGCGATGGTAAACGTTATGCACTTGCTTTCCAAATGTTACCTTTCTAGTATTATGAATGCAACAGTCTGAAAACATGTCAATTTTCTATCAGCTGCAGCAACCACACAGCAGGTTACAACCCCAGCAAGGACAACCCCACTGAGGACAACACCCAGACAACAAGCTACAACCACACAGCCTACAACAGAGCCAGCTGGTAAGGACTGCTGAATATAACTTATAAGAGTCAGTTTCTTAGAGACATAGGCATGTATAAAATCCATGCATGTTAGGTTCATAGAGAAAATTTAAGTTCTTTCCAAGAAAAAAAGGATATCTGGGTACATGTAATAAAGAATAAAAATTTACTCAGGAGAATAGTATATTATCTCTTTCTTTATGTATTTTCAGTTCTCAAACCTATTACTAGTATTAGCCACCAAATAAAGACAATGATACTGGTTGGATTTGGACAAAAGAGTGAACCATCATGAAAGTTCATCTGTGTTGGTAGTTACACATTTTTAAAAAGTTCATTGTGTTGGATCAAAAATTTTAACTTTAAACAAAAGAGTGAATTACTAGTATCGTATTATTTTTTCTTTAGTTGAAAGAGTCATGTTGGGAACTGTTAGTGGTTGGATGTTCTACAAAGTTCAGGCGTCCGGCCCGATGACCAATGCTAACGTGAAGAGTGCGTGCGACAGTGTGGGCTTGAGTCTACCGTGTTACATCAACCGTGACGACTGTTCAGAGGCACCGTACTGGAACAGTGACTGTATCCTCATCAACTCCACGTGCAGACAGACCCAGAGGATCGTATCGGAGGCGATATGCGGCGGGAGCGGTCCGGCAAGCTGTGAAGCGATGAACAACGTTTTTGCGTACATGCCGGGATGGCAGGCAGATGGCAGTGCGTGTGGTGTGGCAACAACGACCAACACGTGGTGCACCAGAGGCGCAAGCTACTTCAGCTTGTATGCCTTCTGTGCAGGTAGGTATTGTGGTGATAGTACTATACTTACTTAGTTACTTACTTACTTGCCCTTACTTACCAGTCCTGGCATGTAGGGCAGCAAGATAGTACTATAGGATGGAGAAAAATGTGCAGAGGTTGATAACTTTGACATTTGATAGTAAGTAAAATGTTTTTCAGTGGTAGAAATACTTTTTCTAGTATTCTGCAATATTACAGAATGTCAGAATCTTGTTCTGCAATTTTGAAAACTTTCTGCAAATTTCAGCCATATCCACTGAGGCCGACATCATTGAACACCTAAAAAATTGCAGGTTGCTTAATTTTTCCTCTGCAATATTGAAAATCCTTCTGCAAAATGCAGACTGCAGATGGGTATTTCTAACACTGTTTTTTCAGCTGATGATAATAAAATGAAGTTTGACTCTCACGCCTCAATTATTATTTCTTCTTTCTAGTTGAATCACCTGTGGTGACTACTATGCCAATTCAGACAACAAAAGGTATGGAATGTGGTTACAACTTACACACAGTGGTCTATAGCAATTCAGTTTTACATTGTTAAACTGTATTTGTTGGATCACTTTAACCTAAACCTGAAAAGAAAAAAGAGAGAATCTCAACCTGCCTACCCTAGTTATTTCAGGGCTGAAACCAAAATCTATCATTAGATAGCTTTAAGTAATGTTTAAAGCTTAGGTGTAACAAGTTGTGAAGCTGGTGTGTTATGCCGAAGGGTGGTTATACCGACTACACAAATGCAGATACTGAAACACAACATTTTTTCCTGCCTTCCTTACATAATCTGTTGTTTACCTCCTATATTTCAGGAACAGGGAATGTTGGATCAGCTGTGACCTTGAACTCTGACCTCCTGTGGGTCATTCTCCCAGCATGCATCAGCAGGATGGTGATGTTGTGAAAAGACAGCAAAAAAAAAATACTTGGAAGAAAAATGTTTGAATGAAAAAATTTGATTGAAATTATAATGCTGTCGATTTGCAGGGATGTAATTTTGCCATAGGAAAAGAGACACTTGCTGTGTTCTAAGTTTTCAGTTGTAACAACCCCCCCAAAAATAATGTCATTAGGTTGGTAGAACTTCTGAATGTGGTATATATCATACAGGTATATATATTTACTTGATTTATTGAGGTAAAGAGAAGACTAAGAACAAGATGATATTTGAAGACGCATTGATGTGTTCCTTTTTGTGAATTGAGAAGACTATCCAAAGCCATCTTCTGAGTTTATTGAGTAATGTCTACTATGCAATTGTTGTAAGTGTACTTAGAACATCTTGAGATTATTATAGTTTAGGTACCTTCATTATGTCCAGGAAAGGGAGTTTAGTTTTTTTTGCCCATCTGGACTTTTTTGTATTGAAACTCAGAAATATGTACAGTCATGTATTTGTTTTTGTTTTGTGTCATACTGCTGTTTTGCAGAAATTAACAAAGAAAAAAAGCCAAAGACTAGTGATGTCAATATTAAGAAACCATGGTGATGTTACAAAGGATAGCATATGGGTTATGATGAAATGCATATAAGGAAACAGACAATCAGAATATTGTCATAAACATGAAGGTGTCATTTTTTTTGTTATACAGTAACTGCACTTTTGTAGAAATTGAAAAAGAAAGATAGCCAAAGACTAAAGAGTTGCAATGTCAATATTGAGAAACCATGGTAAAATTGATATTTACAAAGGACATGATGGTTATGATGAAAAGGGTATAAGGAGACAGACAATCAGAATATTGCCATCCAGCTTCCATACGAAGGTGTCATTTTTTTTTGTTATTCTGCACTTTTGCAGAAATTGAAAAAGGAGGACAGCCAAAGAGTTGTGATATGAATATTCAGTTGGTAAACCTCAGATATATACTAAGGGTAGCATATGGGTAATGATGAAAATGGTATAAGGAAACAGACAATCAGAATGTTGCCGTCTTTATTATGAAGGTGGCAATACTTTGTGCTGGGTACATTTGTCATGGGGTTTCGTTGAGCTGCAGTTCTAAGTAGAGATGATAGGGGGTGTTGGTGAGCTGTCGAGAAGTTGGGTTGACTGTAACAGTGTTCAGTTAGTCTCCACCAGACTTCTTTTGCGGGGTGAATAAATCGTAGAAATTGGCCTAAAAAGGGTATTAATTGGCCAAAGAAGGTAGCCGGCCAGAGAAGCTTCATTGCCCCGCCAAGAATGGAGATTCTCTGGCCGGCTACCTTCTCTGGCCAATTAATACCCTTTTTAGGCCGATTTCTACGATTTATTCACCCCGCAAAAGAAGTCTGGTGGAGACTAGTGTTCAGTCTGTAACAGTGTTGTGTGAATATACATGTGTCTTTTTCCTCGAAGGTTGAATATGACAAATTGATAGGAATATGAATTGATAGAGAGTTATTTCTTGCAAAGAAATGCCACTATTTTGCCCTCAACTATTTTTGTATATTTACCTCACATGTACAATGCCACCTTTTTGCCTCACATATAGTGATATTCTTACCTCCAAAGTATAATGTACATTGTACATGTATATGATATATGTGTATGTTATATATCTGCTGCAAAGGGCAAATGCAAACATAGAGATCTTATAGAGAGTACTCACTACTTTTGTATTTGTTTATAATTCTGATCTTTGCATTAAAATTATTTTGATTTGATGTCATGATGAAAATGAATGCATAGTCATATCTGTTAAGAGGACAAACTCTTGATAATTGTAAGGAACCAAGTGCCACAATTTTACATCACAAGAAATTCACACACACACATTGATTTTAACTCATGATAATTTAATAGATAGAATAAATATGTACAAAAATATTCTACAAGGCTATGATAGTGATAATAGAAGATCTTGGAAAAACAAACTTAACTCTTGAAAAAAAACTTCCAACTGAGTGAAAGAAGAGGTAGATTGAATTGACATTGCGTGGCGTGAGCTTGTGTGCTGCGGCATATTTTACGACAGTGGTGTTTAACAAAATGCGAGCATCATTTACCGTTTTACGATGACGCTGCGTAACTTAAGCCTTGTCCTGCTGGCATTTTTACACAATATTTTCAAATAATTTGATGTCTTAACCAGGTCATAGACTTTTTACTTTTTTTGCCCTGCGGTGACATAGTTACTTCTGCATTTGTATTGAGAAGGCCCTGCAGGACAAGGGTTTTAGGAAACTACTTCTGAATGTTTAAGCATATTTAGGTTCCTTTGCTATAACTCGTGGGCAAAAATGTACCTATGTGGTTATACAAAAGATGCATTTTCTAGTATAGCTCGATGCAGATTAAACAGCTCCATTAAAAAAAAAAAAAACATATGCTTCTTTCCTGAGAGAAAGCTGGAAAACAACTTCTGTGTACATATATATGATTTATCATAGATTAGAATAGGATAACACGTCAACGTTATTATTATAAGTTTCTGTCCGCACTATGTGCAGATATCTACATTATACAGACAATAGTTTGACTATGACTCTTTTGTTTTTTGACGTCCGAGTTTGGTGCGCGGTGACGTGGTTGATGACGTCACTCGTCGATAGCCTTGCACCTCATGTGATGGTTGTCCGTAAACAGGATAAACTCCTCCCTGAAAAATCACCGAAAAAATCTTCGTCAGTAAGATACACTCTCTGGGAACTACGTACATACTATAGTGTACAGTCCCTGAATCAAGTTATTTGTATGTTTGCCTTAGGAAAACATTGTTTTTGCTCTGTTTCCTTGTCTTCATCTCCTTCTCCAAACCAATAAGGTCAATGACCTGAACCAGACGTCTGTCAACATGGTAACTGGTGTTGGGTTACATTATGTTGCAATTTTATAGCAGGAGGGATTTAGACTGTTGTCTGACCATATATATGAATGTGTTTGAGTAAGAATTTACAGAGCAGACCATACGCGAAGGTAAACATTATGAATTTGCTTAGCAAATGTTACCTTTCTACATGTTACATTTAGAGTCTATATACTATTTCTATGGTAACTATGTACATACGTTTAAAGCAGTCCACAGTCCTTAAATTACGATTACTTTTTTTTACTGAAACTGTATAGTTTCTCCAAAAACTAATTGGATTTCCGACCAAACCATTACCTATGCCAGCAGGGGTGCTATTTGGACCAAACCATCACGTACGACAGCAGGGGTGGTACATGTACTTACTCTCTCGGTGGCGGCGGCACCTCCCCACAGATGAGTCCCTTCTCACACGGGCACATCTGGTTCAGACTGTAGTCCAGCCCTCCGTCGGGGACGTAGCACTTCTGATCCAGAACCAGGCGCCGCTTGCAGATCCGCTCTCCGTGCTGCCGCGCACAGCACATGCTGTCTCCGCAGTCCTTGTCGTGCTTACACCGGGCACCTAAGGGGAAGGGTGGAGGTGATTGGTCAGTGACGCGTGAGCATTGCGGCAAAGATCGGCTACACTCCTGAGGCGTTGCCAAAACTCACCATATCAGTGGTATGGACAAAACAGACGTTATATCTGTTTATACAGTAGTAGAAATAGAAAATACAATCTGTCAATAGAGAAGTAGAAGGGAGGGACACTCTATGTACAAACATCTGTAAAGATCCAGCTAATTTTCAGCTGGTGAACAGGAAGGATTTAAACTGATACATAACATGTACTGGATGTATTATGATACACACGACTAATAAAAGTAAAAGCGTAGAAGCTTTCAGACGGCATCCGCCATCTTTCTAGGTTTCCTGGTTTAGACGTGTTTTGCAGAACCAAATGTTGCAAAAACACACTGAGCAGGAACCTTGCATCTGCTTGGATCGAGTGATCTCCTCAATCTTGGGCGTGTTTGCTTTGTGTTTTTGGCAAGTAGATGGGCGGGAAACCAATTAGCCTGCCTCACACCGGGCGTCAGGACGACAAAAGGCCGACCGATTTGTCGATCGGCGTACAATGTACAGTAATGGGGTGCGAAAACCTGGCCCGGAGGGTGGTACGATTTAGTGGTTTACTTGTGGTTAGGGGAATTGTCTTTAGGATTATGTCTTTATTATTTTTTTCAAGAGGTAATTGCGGTGCAGATGTGTCTTTTTGCAGCTAGAAGTCCTTCTGTCACATAGTCTCCATTAGACTCATTTGCAGCCTGAATAAAAATAGTAGAAATTGTCCTAAAACGGGGTTTAATAGGCCAGGGAAGTTGGCCGGCCAGAGAGGGCCCAATTCGCCTGCACAGCTCCAATTATATCCCCTTTTCAGGCCGATTTCTACTATTTATTCAGCCTGCAGAAGGAGTCTGGTGGAGACTAGCTAGAGGTTCTTCTGTCATACTCGGCAGCCCAGGGACCACACAGAGAGGTACGTGTTGTTGTGAGTTCTAGGTGCGAGTCAGTTCAATAAACAACATTGCACGTCAACTGCGCTGGGTGCTGAGTGAATGGTAATCACGTGCTCATCGTGATTTAGAAAGAGAAAAATGGCCCAGCGAACGAAAGACGCGCAAACAGATTGTGGGATCTTTGAGACGAAGTTGAAAACGTTTCGTCAACCCTGTATGTGGATACCGATAAGTTACTCGTAGATCCATGCCTCTTGCTTTTTTCCCTGACTTCAAAATACTTGTTCTAGCTTGATTTTTTAAGGCCACACCACGTACGATACCTGAAATATACATGAAAACGCCAAAACACACAGATAGATAGAGAGAGAGGAAATCAGAGAGAGACAGAGAGAGGAAACAGAGAGACAGAGTAAGATAGAATATATATATATATATATATATATATATAGAGAGAGAGAGAGAGAGAGAGAGACAGACAGAGAGATAAAGAGAGAAAAAAGAGAGGCACAGAGACATCTAGAAAGAGGAGGGGGAGACAATTTCGTCGAAGTTGTCCGTATTGTAACTTACCCTGTTCCCCGGCTTGGATGGTCTTCTCGCAGCGGCCGAACATACAGTCGTAGCCGCCCTGGCAGTTGCCGTCGCGGCGGCACAGGTCGCCCAGACGGCCGCGGGGTTTGCACACACCGTAGTGCCGGTCACAGTACTTCCCGCCGCCGCAGGACTTGTCCGTGTCACATGGGACCTACGATACAACACAAAATATATTGGCTTTGATTATAAGATCGAACCAGAAAGATTTTAACAGCTCCTGCAATTAAATGTGTGCAGAGATTGAGTGTAACAAGTCGTTTGGTGTGATATAGCTAGCTGCTGCCACGCCGCGTGCCTGTGAAGCTTGTGTGTTACACCGAAGGGTGGTTATACCAGCTATACCGATACAGATATGTGTCAAGTGTGTAACTATGTATGTTATAAGAACGTAAGAATTATATTTTTATGCGCTTTTATCACATGCAAACTTCACATTGGCGTTACTCCTCTAAAAGTACTTGTACAAGATTTTGCGAAAGGAATACCCCCTTTCAAACGCTAGCCGTAACTTCTATAGGCATGTTTTCTGTCTATTTGGTCAATTTCTAGTCTTTCTGGTCGCTTCTAAAGCCTGGTAGAGGCTAAAGACCACAAGCTATGAACATTACCATACCACAGACAATGTATTAAAAGAGTCAGGATTGTGTTATATCAACATTAAAGGCTTAAATATCCAGACTCCAAATATTGTCGTACTACCGCCACCAACGTTGTTTTTGTCCGAACGAACATAGAAATCTGTAAAGTCACCACAGGAAGCTATAGACTATAGTTGTAAAAATAAGATAACGGAAAATACAGGTGACTGTGAATTTGCCAGGTGACACAAAGCGCACCTGCTCAAACGTAAATACGTGAAAAATTCGGTCAGACAGTCGAGCTCGGAAGCAAAACTCATTCCTCAGATTTTCCGAGTGTTAGCAAACTTCTCGGCTCTTGGGTGTCTATAGTCCGGCAAACGGTTCCCTTTCAGCACAGGAATGTAAGAAACGCCGGCGGAGAATGGTTGTTTCCGTATTGTAATAGAAGTAAGCAGAGAGCGTTGTTGCTGACAACAGTTAAGGGTTGGCGACAAAATACCCAATTTGAGACCACCCGGAATTACTCTACAAGCAAAGGTTTTGGCTTCGGCTTTTTTTTACGTGGTTTAGACTGGCTTTCCTTTTTTTGTACAGGTGCCTTTCTTTTAGAAATTTCACTTTGAGGTGTTTGAGTGGTGTATTGGATACTTCCCTACCGATTACTGTCTTGCCAATTTGATACTGTCTTTTGCAGTCACTAAAAGATTTGCTTTGAGATTACACCCTCAGCTTTTAAACGTTAAACCTCTTCAAAATGTAGACGTTAGGACTGAGTTTTGACGAATCTTTCTGTCAAAGTATCACAATTTGCAGGTAGGAAGAGCAATTCATTCCAACATTACGTGATAGGAAAACGAAAGGACCAGATCTAACGATTTTCTGTCAGAGGCTATTTCGCGCCGCATGGACCTCTAGCCCCCAATATCAGACGACTTTTCTCCTAGACTGACAGATATGTCAGACGACGCTGTCTGCATGATGATAGCGACTGAGCAAAAGGGGGGCTGGGGGAAGAATTTTGAAAGTTCCTATCTCTCAGAAACAGAGTTTTACATCAAATGATACAAACTCACTTTACCTACCTCGTAATCTGTGGGCATGGAAAGAAAAGCGACCAGCGAAACTCCTGCTATAACGTGTTTTAACATGGTGCCCCCGGCCTCGTATAGACCGACTGTACGTATGTAATTTACCAGACTGGCGTTAACAGAATTCGACACTGTAACTACTTATCCCTACCACGCGTGGAATGTGCGACCATGTAGCGATAGCTTCTAATAGAGGCAAAACTAACAAACCATTAGAGCGTCTACCTGGGCTTGTACTAAATATATACTCTCCAAGCAGAGGTTTGGGTTATTTTGGGCGTGTTTTTAAGCTTTTTTTAATTGAGGTTTCTTTTTTGCATTGGAATTTTTTTCTCACCCAACCCAAAA